GCACGCTCACTGTCCCAGCAATATGTGTGTATGTATATTGACGAAATGCACATATGTAAGTATGTATGTGTTTTTAACAGTAATGCATATGTTTAAGTATGTACAAAATTATGCCGGCAACAACAACATAGCCACTGTAAACTGTCTAGGGTCGAGGCCAGCCGCAATTCTTGTGTGTCCGCTTCTCATATAAAATTAGCCGTTTGCTGCCGTGATTGACCTAGCAACAAACAAAGCAAACGCAGAAGCAAATGCAAACACAACTGTTTCATACGCAATCGATCGAGTTGGCTTTTACCGCACAAATATCACACTTTCAATTTATTATTTGTTGCCCTCTGTAATTAATTAGAATTTACAATAATTACGCGAAGCCAAACTATCTGTAATTGTAATGGACCGACGCACGTCTTTTTGGCCCGACTTCTGAAACGGCAATGGTGGGATTGACGCAAACGATAGAGCAAGAAAACTTTGAAATAAACCTCAGCCAGGAAGAGCGAAAGAGAAAAAGAGTGCGTGAGTGTGTTGGTGTAAACAGCTGCCCGAGTCGTACGGTATTGCTGAGAGTATAAATGGTTTCTCGTTACTTTTGTAACGCACGACAAACATTGAGCTAGAGGTAACAGTTCCCATTCGTATAAATGTGCCCAAAACAGGTTACTTTCCGAGCATTTTATGAGTGGAATGAAGTTAAATATAGAGTATATATAAATTGACACATAAATCAAAATATTTATTTATTTAATACTTAGGAAAGAGTAAATTAGCTTCGACGTTGATACACAAGACTGCAGTTTAGTTTGCTCAAATCGGTTTCTCTCGCTCTCTCACGCATACCAATCACGGTCAAACATGTTTATATACTATATGTGTGTGTATGACGGAATGAAACGGTCTCCGAACTGTAGATAGAGCGAGAGAAACGTATTTGTTTGTCAACGACAATTTAAAAATTTGAGCGCCAGCAATTTCTAGGCATTGTGAAATGGTTTGGCATACAATTTAAAAAAGCTCGTTTATATCAATAAGCAACAAAAAAAAATATTCAAACATGTAGAATCGGCAGCTGACAACAGAGATGTTTGAGATAATTCTGATAAGGTTTTTCTCATTTCACAACAAAAGAAATGTTTTTAGTTGACAAAAAATGGAGATAAAGTTCTTAATGAATGAGTGTAGTAAACAATTTTTTACATCATAAGCGATGAACATTTATTATGAGTAATTGTAGATTAGCATTAGTTCTCTGTGTAATTTATTTATTATTATTTTCTTTTATTTTATTTTTTTTTTGCATTTTGTTTTGTTTTTAGTAAATTTGGTGAAAAATACATTTGTATGCAATATTCAAAAACCAAAACATGTTTTACTTAGATGATGACAAACAACATGCCCATTTAATCTTCAATGTATTCGAATGGCTCTGGTGGCTCGGGCTCCTTCTCATCATCGTTCATTGGACCAAAGGCGGCGACCGGTTCGACCAGTTCCTGCTCTTCGGCCTTGCCCGTGTGCCTGAATACAATGATGCCGCCGATAGTAATATCTTTCATGGGCTCGTAGCTCTGGCCATCGACTAAACTCAAGACTTTCAGTTGTTGACGCAGGGCACGTGCCGGGTTCTGTAAAATTTCGAAATTGGGCTCGGGCTCCTTCTTCTCCTTCTTGTCCTTTTCTTTGTCAGCAGACGCGCTAGTGCTCGCTTCCTTATCCTTTTCATCAATCTTCTTCTCTTTGTCATCCTTCTTTTTGAGCTTGGTCTCTTCTGCCGGTTTGTCTTCGGATTTCACTGCAGTTTCTGATTTCTCATCTTCCTTTTTGCTGCCTGCAGCTGCGCTTTCCTTGCTATCCTCATCAACATCCATTTTCTCATCCTCCTTCTTGTCGGCATTCTCACGGCGCTTCTGTCGAGCTGCAATCGAAAGGACAGCTGTGGCTACCTTCTCGCGCTCCTCGCTCTTCTTCTCCTCCAGCGGAGCCGGGTAGGCGTACAGCGATGGCTTCGCCGCCGATTTGTACTCCATCTTGGGCATCTTCAGATCTGAATTCAGGCCAATTACACAGGTGGGTGTAAAGGCAAGGGACAGGGTGTGCGCCAGTGGGAACCAGTACCAGTACTGGGTGAAAGCCAGCATGCCGACCACAGCCTGCAGATTGGTATGTCCTGTGCGAGATTGAAGCGAGAGCGTGGCGTTGCGACCGCCAGCATCAATGATACCTGCAAGCAGAGATAAAAAGCAGTACTTTAAAAATGCAACAGATTGTATGTATATGACCTTCACTCACCTTGTGCTAGGATGGCACCATATTTAGCCATAACATCCTCGTGCTTGTTGCTGATGACCTCAGCATACAGCTGGCGGAAGAAGGTGCTCTTGGGGCAACTTAAGTCTGTGTGTTGTATGAGGATCATAGAGGAGGCAATGAGCGCACCCTGACGGACAAAGTTCACAGGATCGAATTTAACCATGGGCTCCAGCAAGGCGATTGCCTCGCGCAGTCCAGTGCCAGCGCAAGCTATTCCCAGTGCCATGGCGGCACCATAACGTACATGCGGATTGTATGATTCGGCCAACAAACTAACCACCGATGGGCACTGTTCCGGCGTGCGGAACAAGATGAAACCAATTGCTGTGACAGCGGCGCGACGCACATCGTCGTTAACATCAGAAACGGCCACGTGGAGCAGCTTGCGGATGGCCTTGTTGCTGCCCGTGCCATTGTAAGCCATGGCCAGGGTGTACATTCCCGAGCGACGTAAGACGGGATCCTTGTCGGTGGAGAGGCTGGTGACAAGGGCATCTGCCTCTTCAAGGCGTGCAAACATGGTCAATGAGATGCCTACGGCTAGACCGCGAAGAATTTTTTCGTGCTGTGTCTCCTGGGCATAGGACACCATATCCTCAATGGCCTGAGCATTTTTGGAGCCCAGCATAACCATGCCCATTGCAATGCCAGCTGCCTCGCCGGTTACAGCATCGTCCTGATACAAATTGAATTTCAGCTGCTCGTACAAATCCTGGCGATGGGTGCCCATGCCGGCCAGGCCTAAGCCAAGGCAGCCACCATGGCGCACATTCTCGTTCTGGGCATCCTTCAGCTGCTGCAGCAAGTAGTCGATTATGTTGGCGCCATGATTGGCGTGTATCAGACCCAGGGCGTATAAGGCGCCACCCTCGGAGTAGCCAGAGCTGGGACCCGCCTCCTTGGGCAAATAGCTTTGCATCAGTGCCAGCGAATCCTTCTCGTGTCCGCGATGAATGACACCCAATGAGGCGGTTGCGGTTAGCTTGGCCCAATTTGTGGCACGGGCCAGCCAATCCAGATTGTCGCGCAGGAACTGATCCGACGTGGTGCCGCTGTGCATGAAAGCATTGGCAATGACAGTCGCTGTGTGGCAAATCGAGACGCGCACCGCCTCCTTGGTGCCACGCAATATCTGCAGATCGGCGTGATTGCTGCGGATGAGAAACTGTAGCTGCAAATCAATAGACACTTCGCCGGAGAGGATGGAAATGAGCTTCTCAATGTTCTTCTGATGCAGCTTCTCCATGTCGTTCAGCGAGTCGATGGTGCGTTCGATCTTGCCATCGCCTAAGGAAGAATAAAAATTGTTTATAATAAATGGGAAGCGATTGCATGTCTGGCCTGAATACTTACCTTCCTTATCATCAGTGGTCTCCATGCGCTCGTCGCTTTGCGATTTAGCCTTTTCATCATCAGACTTGCCAGTGGTATCACTACTTCCAGCTGTTGTGCCTTGGGGCTTGAATGTGCTGGGCAACGCTGTGGGTATGGGAGCTGTGTCCCTCAGTGCCTGGAGTACATTACCCAGAAACTCCTGGGTTGCCGACTCGTACAAATCGAAGGCGATTTGATAAGCCATCAGGTTGTTGGCCTCCACCGGAGAGCCAGTCAACTTGTCTAGCATTTCAGCAACGGCTAGCGGATCCTCCAGAAAGATGAGACACTGGCACATGTTCACATAGTCTGGCACGCCCAAGTCTCGATATAGTCCGACCAGGCAGCGCAGCACCTGATTGCGGAAACCGCGATTCTGCAGCAGCGACATGGTCACGTTGTAGGCATAGGCCAGCATGCCGCGCACATCGTCCGATTTCATGATGGACACTTCGAAAATGTCCATACGACGCGTTTCCAGCGCAATGCCAAGAGCCTGGCGGTATTGATTATCGTCCAGACAACGCTGAATCATGCGATTCACAATGCCCTCCAAGCGCTCATCCACGGGCTTCGCCTCCTTTGGATTCTCAATGAATTCAATGCGTTGTGCAATATAAAAATCAATGCACTTGGCAATGATTGTCTCAGTGTACTCGTTGCGGGCATTCACATCGAACAGATCGCCAGCGCCCAGCGCATATGTGAGCGCATCCTCAAACGAGCCGAGATGATAGAATACCTTGGAAGCGACCATGCCAGCCAGCTTGTTTTCCGGGAAGGTCCTGTCCTCGTGCAGCATTTCGATCTTTTCAATCGACTCGGAAATTTCAGGCCAGAACTCATCCACAATGTTGTCCAGTTTCTTCAAGGCAAACACCTTGAGATCTGGCATCGGTTCATCAAGTAGGGATATTATCCCCGCGGCGGATGTGAGGCTCATTTTTTGCTTGCGTTGTTTTTAGTCCCAATAATAAATATGTTCTACGAAAGTGTATATAACATATGAATAATTTGAATCGAAAAACTGTCTGTTTACAATATAGACAAGTAATTTTTTTTATGTACTTACCAATGGATTGCAGTTTTTAATGTTACACAGACTTTTCTTTTATGCCGAAAAAACGCTAAATCACCAAACGGTATAGTGTTGCACAATGTTGGCTGGTGTGTATGAGTGCTGCAAGTCACACATAGAGCGGTGTTGGTAATCATATTATTATGAATGAGTGGCAGCCCTATGTTCTGTTGTCATCGATAGCTATCGATATACAAGTTACTCACAATTTAGCATCGCAGCAACAAAAACGCGCGAACAAATAGCACAAGCGAGCAAAACACAAAACTCTATTTTGCTGCGCTAAGGCACGTATTTACCGCATTTAATTGTAAATACAACTAAGATAAAAAACAAGAGCGACAAAATGATGTTCGAGGACCAACGCATGTCTGTAGATTCAACCACACCAATAAAAAGCGCAGGCAGCTTAAATTCCTCCGGCTCGTCCATTTCGATGGACATCAAGCCGCTGAACAGTTGGGCCCAAGAGGTTCGCGCCGAGCTGGGACAAAGCGATGAGGTATATATGATGTTTATATACTCTAAAGCTAGTTAGCTAATTAGTTAGCATCTCTTTCAGGCCTCGTCATCTTTTAACAGCAGTGCCGGGAGCACAGCTGCTCAATCAAAACGTGAAATGACTCTGGAGTTTCTCGACGGCAGCAATGAGGAGAAGTTTGAGCGTCTGGTCAAGGAAGACAAATTAAAGACGCCCTTTAAGCGTCGACACTCCCTAACGCCGCCCACACTCAGCACTGAGAATAGTCGCTCCAACAGTCCAAATAGCAGCGCGTCGTCCGCAACTAACGAATCTAATCCGCATACCAAGGCACATCACTTCAAGGGTCGCAAGGAAGAGAAGCGTGTGCGCCATAATAGTTACACTTCATCAACATCATCCTCATCCTCGTACACAGAGGCAGATCCGGCCATTTTGTCCCGCCGTCAGAAGCAGATCGACTATGGCAAAAATACGGCTGCCTACGAAAGATATGTAGAGACGGTGCCCAAGAAGGAGCGCACTCGCGAACATCCCAGGACACCAAACAAATTTGGCAAGTACAGCCGTCGGGCGTTTGATGGATTGGTGAAGATCTGGCGCAAGCAGCTGCATGTCTATGATCCGCCCGCAGCAAAGGCTTCAAATACCGGCGAAGCTGACTCGGATTCTGACTCAGATTAGAGCTGTTATATTTATATTATGAATAAACATATACTTAGGGATAATTGGGGGGATATTGAAACGATGGTACAAAGTCGGCAAAAGTTAAAATCGCAAATATTGTTTGTATTAAATTAGCCTTAAAAGACTGCTTACGGGCAGCGTATGTTATGTTATGTTAACATATTTTCAAATGTWTAATAAAATGGCGTCGTTTTGATCTTGAAATTTTTCGTGAGGCTATTTATTTCTTCCAGGAAAGTGTGAATTGAAATATTTCATGGAACTTCCCACTATAAAAAGGCTGACCTAATCATGGGAACTACCATGGGAAGAACCTTGTAATGCAAAGAGAAGTTCCGTTAATTTTAATGCTAATTAACAGCTTTGTTGTGACGTCACATTTTCGATATGAGCTCTGTTATTCGATTTAAAAGTTGGCGGGCACTTAGACAGATCTGGAAAATGGTTCAGACCTACCCTAATAAAGTATTTTATAGCGAATTTCAACAGTAAGCTCAAATGGTCAATCCTTTATTTACGTTTTTTTTTTAATTTTTATTTTAATAAAGTGAATAGAAAATGTAACTGTCATTGAATCGTTTTAAACATACATATGAATGCATGTACATATGTAAGTGATGAAATGGATTCCTACCGGTGTAAAGTTATATTGATGGAAGGAACAAACAAAATTGTTTGAATGCACGTATGTATTAGAATCTCAATTTGTTGGTATTATAAGCATATTGATATAAAAAAAGATATCCACAGTACACAACATACATACAAACAGACATATAGACATAATAGAGCAATTCAGCAACACGTATATACATAACGCACATATTCACTTGCACATAGTGAAGAGAGTCAGGCAACAATGAGTCTGAATTCGCAAACAAAAAGAACCGAAAAGATTGCTCTGCTGAGAGCAGAGAGCAGATGAGAGCGCATAAATTATTTTCTCTTGAAAATTTAAGGCGCAATTCAGTGCAATGAGTTTATTAGAAAGTTGACGCTTTCTGTGGTATCACTAGTGAAGGTTATTTGTTGCATGCTGTACAAGTTACTTGTGTTATAATTTGGATATACATATACATACATATACATACATATCTGCTACATATTCCGCCTTTTGATAGTAGTTTTATATGCATGTATACAAACAACGTCAAACACGCGAAATCAACAAGCGCTCTTTATGGCAACTGTGTACATGCTGTGTGTGTGCATATACTATACAGTGGACCCTCGCATGACGAACACTTTTTTTTGGAGAAATTAAGTTTCGCTTAATGAACAATGTTTCGCACAACGACCAGCGAAAAATTGGAAAACCTTTATTGTATACAAATTTCTGTCAGTGTTAAATACCGAAATTGTGGAAATCTGGAATATTCCTTATAGTGCTGTTCATTGGCCGTTTTTGCATTATTTGCTACTATTTTGCATGCAATTTTATGCAAAAATTTTTAGTGCTTGTTTAAAAATTTAAATTTAACTTACCTAAATGCCTTCTAAAAAAAAATCAGAGAAAGAGAAAAATAAGAGAGCCATAATTTCTATTGATATGAAGCACAAAATCATTGAAAAACATAAACTTGGTTTGGGTGTGACTGATTTAGGACGTGCGTTCAACTTATCGAAATCAACGATCTCTACAATACTCAAAAATAAAGACAAACTTGAGGTGGTGAATGCTTCAAAGGGAGTATCAAGAGTATCTGCGCAACGTTCACCTATTCTTGATGATGTTGAAAGATCGCTTTTGATATGGATTAACGAAAAGCAAATGCGAGGTGACTCACTTTCGTCAACTATAATATGTGAGAAGGCTAAAAGGATATTCGCCAATCTTATTGAAGAGTCACCAGGGACATCAACAGCAAATGGACAAGATTTTAAAGCCAGCAAGGGGTGGTTCGAAAAATTTAAAAAACGCACTGGTATTCACGTCGCATTGAGACATGGTGAAGCAGCAAGTTCAGATTCTAAGGCAGCAGAATTTAAGAATCTTGTGGCTACTGCGGGTTACTTGCCCCAGCAAATTTTTAATTGTGTCGAAACGGATCTTACTCGGAAAACTATGCCTAAGCGCACTTACATCACATCAGAGGAGAAAAAGACTTTATCAGACAAGCGGGTAACAGAAGAACAGCAACCATCTAGTGCCATCAGAGAAATGCTCAAAGCATGGGAGTCTGTGGCATCATACGTTAAAAAATATCACCCCAATCAAACAGAGGCTGCACGTGCAACAGAAATATTCAATGATATTGCTGTGTCTCACTTTCAACAGATTTTAAAGCGGCGTCAGATACTCTACAAATTCTAGAAACTTTTTGGTTAAAAAAAATCTAGGTATGATTCCATCCAATATGACAAAATATTTCTTTTCCAAATTCCTTTTATTTTTCCTTTTCAGATTTCGCCTACATTCCAATTTTACTTCTTTAAAATTTTTATACATTTAATGTAATTTTCCTTCAATAACAGTTCAAATTGAAACGTAATATTTGTATTATTTTTCAAACTGGAACAAATTGTGTTCATTTACCGAAGGTCCACTGTACTCGCGGCGAACTATAGATAAGTTGCTCGCCGGTTTTATAGCGGCCACCGGCCGGTGACTGACTCCCGCTGGGGGTCTATAAAAGCCGGTCGTCTCTTAAAGCGCTCAGCAGTGTTGCTTGATACTTTGTACAGTTCGCCGGAAATTTTCTACAAATCAAAAAGTAAGTGGTGGCCTTAGTATATATCTACGTACGTACGTACATAATATACAAGTTATATATGTACATGCATACATATGTATGTTCATATGTCAAAGTGTGTTGTTGTTTTTGTGAGCCAACAAAAAATACTTGAGTTGTGTGGAAAAAACTAAAAGAGAAAAAGAAATACATAAGTTATGACTATGACATCAAGGGACTATATACATATGTACATATATGTATATATATACATACATATAAAGCGATTTTTAATTATCAATTTTCGAATGTTCTTTTGCTGTCTTCTTTTGCTGAAATAATGGAGCGCGTCTAATGATCGTTTGTTCTCTGTGCTCTTCTAATTATAGAAATTAAAAATGGACTTCTACTATTTGCCCGGCTCCGCTCCCTGCCGCTCCGTCATCATGGCCGCTAAGGCTGTTGGCGTTGAGCTGAACAAGAAGCTGCTGAATCTGCAGGCTGGTGAGCAACTGAAGCCCGAATTCGTGAAGATCAATCCCCAGCACACGATTCCCACGCTAGTGGACAATGGCTTTGCACTGTGGGAATCGCGAGCTATTCTGGTTTACCTGGTGGAGAAATACGGCAAGACCGATTCACTCTATCCCAAGTGCCCGAAGAAGCGCGCCCTGATCAACCAGAGACTGTACTTCGACATGGGCACCCTGTACCAGAGCTTTGCCAACTACTACTATCCTCAGCTGTTCGCCAAGGCGCCCGCCGATCCCGAGTTATTCAAGAAGATTGAGACTGCCTTCGATTTCCTGAACACCTTCCTGGAGGGCCAGACCTATGTCGCTGGCGACTCACTCACCGTCGCCGATATTGCCATTTTGGCCACCGTGTCCACCTTCGACGTGGCAAAATTCGACATCAGCAAGTACGAGAACGTGAGCAAGTGGTACGAGAACGCCAAGAAGGTGACTCCCGGCTGGGATGAGAACTGGGCCGGTTGCTTGGAGTTCAAGAAATTCTTCGATTAAGCTTCATTCCGTGTCGAGTATTATTATATTCATAATTTATGCATACAACTAACTCATAAAACGATTTGATCGTCAATTGTAGTGCGCTAATTTTTGCATCAAGCGAGACTGGTACGAACGATATTTTTGCTTCAAATAAAAGAGTATTCGTTTTTATTGAGTACAATTTAAGAGATCACACTTTTTTGGCTTTTTTTTGTCTTCATCGCGCTCTCAGTGAGCTTAAAAGCTTTTCACATTCTCTTTTATTAGTTTTGATGCGTTAGTGTGAGGCTGCCAGTTTTTATTGTTGCTGTAATTTTGTCCACTTCCACTCAAATATTGCTGTTTGTTTTGTATGCATTTATTTATGGGTGTGTATGCATGTAGCAACGCAAGCAATTGAATTCGCTCACACTCCTCCCCTTTCGTTTGTCGCATACTATGACGTACATCTGTATATGTATGCATCATTTTTATGGGTAGACTATTTAAATTTGACTCGCCTGCTTGCAATTTACACACTTGCTTACACACACACATTTACAATGTATTGTGTGCAAGCCTAGTGTGTAAACTAGTGTGCTTTCATATTTGTCCACGCTCAAATTCTCTTTGTATATCGTTCTCTTTTTATTGCACTCTCAAATAGCGGGCGGCTTTACAATATCTCAATTCAGTTGCAAAAAGTACAGTTGGCAGGAAATGTATGATAACGAGTGAGTAAAAATAAAGAATTAATTTAAAGTGGACAATGTAAATTAAAGATAAAAACAGTGTTAGGTGTCGTACATTAAATACTCTTAAGTGAACTATTTGCCCAAGTGGAAAAATTAACGGATGAAAGTTAAAGCCGGGTTTTTTTTCCTTCAATTTGATACTACACTGTAAACTCAGTCAAACTGTTTAGACTGTGAATTCATGTCGAATCACGGTTTTTCTTTTTGGAGAAATATCTGCTTAAATAAATTAAATACTTGACAAAATATTTTTGTTTTTTTTTTAAGAAAATATGTTGGATTTTTACTATATGTTATATTTGGCGCTCTGTCGCTCCAGCCATGCTGAATCATCGTTTGTTCTTCGATCTGGGTACATTGTACTACTACTATCGCAAAATGTTTGAGGATGTCAAAAAGACAGCTGATCCTGATAATTTAAAAAAAGTTGATGCAGCTTTCGACTCGTTCAAATACATTGCTGGAGGGCCTCAAGTATGCAGCTGGCGATAAGATTACTGTGGCTACCTTCAAGGTGACTGGCTATAATTTCAGCAAGAACATCAATGGGACCAAGGGGTATGAGAGAACCAAGAAGCAAGTGCCCGGCTGGGAGGAAAACTGGGAGACCTGCTTGTATTACAAGAAATTGTATTTGTCGGAGCTTTAATTAGATTTCCCGCTAATCCTAAGTATATGTATGTATATATAAAATGTGATATGAAAGCCATAATATTATGTAAACTCGTATTTGAAATAAACAAAAGTCAACGACTTTTCAGACCCTATCTTATCACTACAGTAGAAGACATTTCATTTGTTAGAGCACTGCGAGGGCAAGTACTGATAGCAGAGAGTTTACTTGCGATAAGATATCGAATCATCTATCATTATATAGATACACCTCCAATTGCCTTAATGTAGGGCTAGAGTTAAAAACATGGCAACAAGAAATTAGTTGAAATATGTGACATTAATTGCTGAGTCACTAAACTTGAATTTTGTTATTTTGACCAGCTAAGCTGATATCTATCTCTTTAGATGTATTAATAATTTCGTCAATTATCACCTGACCTATACCTATACCATTATACGCTACTGATATTTGTATATCTATAAAACTATGCCTAAACACTGAGCCCAGCTCAGTTGTCTCAAGCTCTTTGTTGGAAAAACTGTGTGGGGAGTGGAGGACCGAAGAAAATAAATAGAAATAGGTAAAAATATAATACTTTATTCGATATACTGTTACGTAATCTACGCAAAGAAAGTGATTAACATGAAAATGAATGATGAGCCGCTTGACTGGGTTTCCTTTGTTTCTTTGTTTGTGTGCATTTTGTGTCAGCTCTTAATGAATACGAATACGACTACGTATAGGTATTGTATTATATTATAGCTCTGGCAACAGCTCTAGCAATAGCAATGGACTTGTATTATCGACCCGGATCTGCGCCGTGTCGAGCGGTCATTATGACGGCCAAGGCAATTGGAATTGAGTTTGATAAGCTGATTTTTATCAATACACGCGCTGGGGACCAATTCAAGCCGGAGTTCCTGAAGGTGAATCCACAGCACACGATACCCACGCTGGTGGATAATGGCTTTGCGCTGTGGGAATCGCGTGCCATCATGGTCTACCTGGCGGAGCGCTACGGCAAGGGGACGCCGCTCTATCCCCCGAACATTGAGCAGAGGGCGTTGATTAACCAGCGCCTGTACTTCGACATGGGCACCTTGTACAAGAGCTTCGCGGACTACTACTATCCGCAGATCTTCCAGCAGCAGGCGCCCAATGAGGAGCAACACAAGAAGATCGAGACTGCGTTTGAGCTGTTGGATGGCTTTCTGGCGGAGCGTAGCTATGTGGCCGGCGATTGGCTGACTCTGGCCGACATCTCGATCCTGGCCAGCGTTTCGTCCTTCGATGTGGCGGGCTTTGACCTGAGGCGTTATGGCAACGTGGCCAGGTGGTACGAGCTGGCGAAGGTGAACACACCTGGCTGGCACTCCAACTGGGCGGGTTGCCTGGAGTTCCAGAAATACTTCCAGAAATGAAATTGCCTATGATTCAATTAAAGACAGATTCGTTTATTGCACTTGGTTCTCTTAACTGTGAGGAGGAGAGCTACACACTAAATTATTGCACTAGGTTTATCTAAGGGCTAGAACAGGGAGTTCGATTTGCTAAACTCGAGCGGTCGTCGAAACGACTGCTCCAGATTGTGCAGTCGCTGCTCCAGATCGTTCATCGAGTTGCGCAGGGCGTGGCCACGCGGACGCAACGAGATTTGCGGCGACTGCTGCACTAGATCGTCCTTGACGCCCGAGAAGGAGTGGCGCACGCAGGAACGCTTCTCGAATTTGGTATTCTGATAGTGCGGTTGCTGATGCTGATGCGGATGCGGATGCGGATGGGGATGCGGATGCGGATGTGAGTGTGGATTACCGCGATGCTCGCAGTTGCTATTGCGGCAATTGTGGGCAACCAGCGGCTCATCCGTCTTCAGTGAGTCCTCGTAGGTATCACTGGAATGAGGCAAGCCAAGCAAACAGATTTAGTCAGCTGGCAGCTAGTTAACCAGGATAGCAACCCACCTGCTGTCCGTGTGCGGCTGCTGGCGCAGCTCTAGGTGCGCCTTGGCATGCCTGGGACAGAGCAGCTCCCCATTGCTGCCCCCGCGCTGAAAGGAGTCCGGCGAGGTCTCGTACAGCTCCCGACTGCTCAGGAACTCCACGCCCGAGTCCTGCCCGGTGGAGTGCAGCGAGAACAGCGACGTCTCATAGTTGTTGCTGGCAAAGATCAAACGAAATTCAAACACGAATCAGACTCAGGGCTCTGGTCACACTCACAGATTGTTCACCGGCTGGCAGGCGTTGTACTTGAGCACAAACGGTGAACCGCCATCGCCTCCAGTGGCCGCCGCTGCCGCCGCTGCCTTGGCAATGGACTTGGGCAGCGGCACATCAATATACTCGCGCTGGCATTGCTGCTGCCTGAATAAGAATGGGAATGGGAACGGGAATGGAAACTGGTTTCTCTGTTTGTCTCTTTTCTTGCTCTTCTTCGTACTCACTCGTTCAGGTACTGATGATGCTGCTGCTGTGTGACCAGCGCCTGCTGCTGGTGATGCTGATGCAGCTGCTGTTCCAGTTTCTCGGTGGCCGCTGCCGTCGACTGCGTTTGCGCCGAGGAGCACAGCGATTCGTTCATGAAGGCGCTGGTTGGACGAGGCTGGCCGCCGTTGCCGCTGCTACCGCCGCCGCCGACGCCGATGCCGACAGCGCTGCCCTTGCTGCAGCGTTGCGTGTGCCGCAGCTGGCGCTGGCGTCGCTGCTGCGAGCGACTCTGGTTGATGCCAGCGATGGTATAGGCGAGTCCGGCCTCCGAGGCGGCAAAGTCGCGCTGCGACCAGAGCTGCCTGCAAGCAAAGCAAGTTGAAATGCTCAGATTTGTGGAACGACTTCGACAATCACAAATGCGTTTCGCATTCGAGTGGCACTTGTCAAACGATTCAGATTCTGATGAAGCTTAGCTTAATTACCAGCTGTTTAGGCTGTTGTTGTTGTCGGTGTTGTTGTTGTTGTGTAATGTGATTTTTTTTTACAGTTAGAATTCCAGCGGACAGGTGAGCTGCAGCAGTAGCCGGTTTAACCCATACCAACGAGCAACAACAACAACAACAACGAAGCCATTTGATCAGCACTTAAAAAAGATTTATTAGATGGCCTTAGACTAAACTAAAGCAATATATATATATATATATGTATGTATATATAAATATGTATGTATGTATAGCACTAATGCATTCAAGTCTTTCTGTTACAATTACAGGTTTTCTGCTGCTTGTGTGTTTACCGTTTCTGGCGCAGGCACAGGTAACAGCAGGCCGCTGTGAGCGCGCCCAGGCTGAGCAGCGCCAGCAGCACCAAGGTGAGAAATTCCAGTCCACCCATCAGGCTGGCAGCGGAGGCGTGCGTGGGCCGAGCCGCCTGCCCGAACTCGGCCAATTCGAGGATGCGCGGCATCGTCTTGCTGCTGTCCACATGCTGTTGCTGCAGCTGCAGTGCGTCCAGCTGGAGGCCGGCCAGCGATCTAGACGACAGATTGGATAGATTGCCTCATTAATGCTTTGTGCATCAGCTGGAAACGGGTTAATGACTTACTCCTGCAACTGCTCCATTTCCACAATGGCATTGCTGTGTGGGTCAACGGCATAGATATAGGCATTGGTGCTGGTGCATGGAAAGAGCGGAAAAGTAAAAGAAAACTTATTGTTTATTGAGTATTGATGGATGTGAAATCAGCTGGAGTTACTATATTCCTTATATATTAGACTAATAGTTAATAATATATTAATATATTAGACTATTTTTTTAAAGTTATATATATCACAATAATATAAGCAATGGAATACCAGTATGTCGGTATTCCATTGTTCCGCAATAATTCTATAAATAAATTTATATAGTGGTAGTCAGACTTTTATTTCTTAAAATTTCTTTTATATAACTAAATTTTAATTAATTTTAGTATTTTTCCACAAAGATTCTAAAAATCCATTTTTATAATAGGGTTTATTTTATAGTTTTAGTTTTAAATAATTTTGGTATTATTGCACATGCTATCAATTTATATATTCGTAATTTGACTACGTAGTACCCATATTATGTATTTATTAATTTCTTAGATTTTTTATATAATATTAATAACCTAATTAATAAATAATAATCTTGGCTTTCATTGTACAAATGCTGAGAGAGAAAGATAAATTATTAGAAGGAAAGTCTGAGCATATATGTACATACATATTGATTGAATTTGTTTAAATGGAAAGTGTATTTTGAAAATCAATTTGGGGTTTTGACTCTCAGCATGTGAGAATATGAGAGAGTGAGAGTTTGAAGTGGTGTAACGAAAATAATTATTATATGTGTTACCATGAGACGCAGCAGTGACTGGAGTGGGTGATATGAGTGATATGAGTCAATGCTGCGAATGTAACTCTCTGATATATGTTGTAGTCAGACTACTACTCACAATGTTGCACTACTTATAAATCCCTCTCTATAAGTATTGGTGGCTACTGTTTCATAATCCTTAATAGTAATTTTTAAAATTGCGCTGCTACTTACGCCACTTCGCTGCCTGCCGAGTTCGGCTCGAGTAGGCGCACGCGCACATCCTTGCCAATGGCCGAGCTGAGCGCCTCCATCAGACTGTCGATGCGTCGCTCCACATCCACGGGCATGCCGGCCACCACGAGACGCACCTGCTTGGCCTCGTCGATGATGTAGACAAAGACATTGACGATGCTGCTGTGCCCGTCGTCGGCGCCCATTCGATCGGTGGCCTTCACATCGAAGCCGTAGATGCGCTCGTCCTGCGGCAGATCGGCCAGCAGACGGATGTTGCCCGTGAGCTCGTCGATGCCGAAGAGTCGCGTCGGCTCGTTCAGCAGGCGATAGCGAATCTCGGCATTGATTCCCTCGTCGAGGTCCGTGGCTGTGACGCGTGTCACGTGGTAGCCGAAGCTGGCGCTGCGCGGCAGCACAGCCACGATTGGCTGCCCGTTGCCCCGGAACTTGGGTGAGTTGTCGTTCTCGTCCGCAATGCGCACCACAATGCGGCACTCGTTGGGCGTGAGGCCCTCGACCCGCTCGTCCACCACCGGGTAGGCCACCTTGGCATAGTTGCGCGGCTCCCGGCTGATGCGATCCGCTCGCACCCGGAGCTGATAGCGCGAGATGTGCTCCCGGTCGAAGGACTTGAGCGCGTACAGCAGCATATTCTTGGCATCGTACTCGAAGGGTGGATGGGCATCGGACTCGTCCAGTCCCTCCTCCAGCCACAGCGACCAGCGATAGTTTTCGGCATTCAGACCGGCGGTCAGATTGAGACGCATCACCTCAATGGGCGCCTCGTTGTTCTCGGTCAGCTGGACGTCGTAGTATGGATGCTGGAAGATGGTCACATTGACTGGAATCTCTGGCTTGGGCGGCGGCGTTGGTTCCGTCACTGCCTGGCCCTGCAGATTGATGAGCACCACGGCCGTGGCCGACAGAGCCGGACTGCCCAGATCCGAGGCAACGACAGATACGTTGAGATGTTCGTAATCATTGTAGCCCCGTATATTGGACACTGTGGTAATGGTGCCGTCGCGGGAGTCGATCTGGAAGACTGGCGCATGCAGCCCCTGATGCAATATGGAGTAGAGCACCAGTCCGTTGCCATTGCCCACATAGTCCTTGTCAATGGCGTTCACCTGCTTCACAAACATGCCCGGCAGAGTGCTCCGATCCAGATACGCCTTATAGACGGGCAGCATCAGGGTGCGATCGGTCACATCGGCTATATACTTGACGGCCTTTGCTTGATCGTCGTAGCCAATGAACTCGGGCCGATTGTCATTGATGTCCAGCACATTTACCTCCACGTCCACGCTGCTGGATAGACGCTGCATCGGCTCCGCATTGTCGCTGGCGATCACCTGGAAATTGTACTTGGCGCGCTGCTCCCGGTCCAGCTGCCCGTTGATCTTCAGCACGCCCGAGGCGGGCTTCACTGTGAACGGCAGGTGCTGGTCACTCAGTGAGTAGGTGATGTTCGCATTCGCGCCGTAGTCCATGTCGATGGCCAGCACCTGGCCGAGCACGCTGTCCTTGTAGTCGCCCTCGGGTGTATCGAAACTATACCAGGATTTCTTGAACGCCGGCACGTGGTTGTTCACATCGATGACGGTGAAGCGCATGCACGTGGCATCCTTCAAGCCGTCTATGTCGGTGACACTCAGATTCAGCCAGATCTCTATGTTGGCCGCCAGCGGATAGTTGACCGTCAGCTCGCCGCTCAGCTTGTCGATGGCAAAGTGACGTACGGCTTGCATCTTGATCAGTGGCATGCCCGGCGATCGCTCCACCTGCTCGCCGCTTATCTCGTAATGCAGCTGGGCGTTGCGACCGAAGTCCTCATCGCTGGCGCTCAGCTGCAGCAGCTTGGTGCCGATGGGCGTGTCCTCGTAGATGGCAAACAGTGGACACTTGACCGTAAGGGCGCGAGCCATGCGACGGCGGGACTTGGCGCGGGCTACGAC